GACACAACATCTTTGTTGGTATGTGGTGCTGAGGATCGAACCCGGGCTGCACGCATGCCAGGCGAGCGCGCTACCGCTTGAGCCACATCCCCAGCCCCGATGCTGTGTTTTAGAAGTTAAATTGCTGCTTGGAGTGTGGAAATATTGTCTGCTAAGGCACAGGTGCTTTTAAGTCCAACATGCCAACTCTGCTAGTGTACAGAATCAGTTTTCTCTCCACTCTTCTTACTGAAATGGCAATGAGCTTTTCCCTTGCATTTTATTCCCTGTCATCACCTACTTTATACTGGGCAGGAAAACATTGTTCATTTATGAAGTCCATCTCTGCTGTTTTTTTTTTGTTTGCTTGTTTGTTTTTGTTGTTGTTGTTGCCTTGACCCAAAGTAGTTTTGGTCCCAAATGTGGGCAAATACAATCATCAATACAAGTATTCCACTCATACTTGAAATGTTTATTTTAATTTTTAAAAGATTTTTATTGAAATGAAAACAGAAATTATTGAGGTAATTTCTTGGACTTCTAAGATTATACTAGATCCCTGGGAGTTAGTGGATCCCAGCTTGGCTTCCACCTTTAATTCAAATGTGAGTCCATTTGTATCTCTACTCTTACTCAGGTCAGCCTCAGAACACCCTCCTCTTGGCTTCTGTTCCTACTTTTCTAATCATCCTGTCTTTGGAAAATGGTCTATAGCTTCTCATGCACTGGGGAGATTACTGCTTTCATAGATTTGCTTTGTTGATCCATTCAGTTTTCAATCATTGACCTCATTACAAATGGATGCCTTCTAAGAGACAGCCACATACAAGGCAACCTAAGTCCTAGAGTCCCCATATCTTTCCAAATATCAGATCTCCTTCCCATTATCTCACTCTTGTTAGGTGGGTAGTTTAGTTATGAGCAGGTGGGTAGAGAGGGGACACTAAAGGGCAGTAACTTACAGGATGAACATCAGACACAGTCATCAAGGAAATTCCACAAGTCAGGGGACTGAGGATAACATAAAACTTTATCAAAGCAGATAAGCATCAGGAAAATGGGTACTGGCTCATCAAAACTCCTTCAGACATAGTTAATTATAACCCATTAAGGGAACTATTGCTTCAAGACCTTCTCTCTTGTGACCAGGTCTTCATGACTCTCCCCGGTGACCAGGTCATTGCTATCCTCACAAAGAAAAATTGCTGAGGGTTATGCAAAGGGGTAATAAACCATGTGGGGGGCAGGTATGAGAAATTTAGTGAAGACCAAAGGGACCCAAATCCTTTAAAAACTTAGATCTATAAGAGCTATATTGTTCTCTCTGGAAGTGCCTATATGGTGTGTCCTTACCTCACTCTTTCTAGAAACCTCTGCCTGTTAAAACTTGCTTGAAATCTTCCCTGCTGCTAGAGAGCCACATGGTGGCTTCAGCTCAGCAGGTCTCCTCGGCAACACCCTGACCACTAAACTCCTCTGAGTGACTTTAGAGTTCACGCGTCTCCTAAGGTAAGTTCACCCTTTAATTTAGTGAGATATTGCAGGGAAACTTTGCCATTCTTTTGTGACTCTGAACTTCTTTTTTTAAAATTATTTCATGAACAATTATTAATTTAGTGAAATTAACATTGTTATGAACACATAAGGTATAAGCTCTCTCTTTCCAATAGACCCCTAAGGTTGAGAGCCATCCCGGATTTTGAAAAGGCATTTCTGTGTGCTTGTGTTGCTTTCTTTGCCATTTTCTCAGTTATTGATGTAGCTAGATTTTGTGAACAAAGCATAGGTCACCAGCCTGGCTAGCTGGTGATAACTTTCCCCTAAATCACCTCAAGCCTAGAAAGAGGGACTCCAAAGTCACTCATAGAGCTTGATAAGGATTCCTGGAGCTTGGGGGCCTGAAGACTAGTACTTACTTCTGAAGACAAGTCTTCTGGTGAGAGGCCAATTCAGCAGAGATGCTTGCTGGGCTAGGTTGGTTTGTTTGTTTTCTAATTAATGCACTTTCTGTATTTAACCATTTTATTTTAAGGATAACTAGAAATTAATGGAAATTTAAAATAGAATTACTTTTCTCCACTTGTTGCATTCTTTGCTTTGCAGTGTTTAATAGTTAGTCATTCTCTATTTCTATAAACATAAGTATACAAATGCTTATTCATTTACCTAAACTGTCTACTGTTGCTCTTACATTAAAATTATTTAGGATTTTTCTACAAGCATTTTTTAATGGCCATTTCCTAGACTCCCATATAAAAGACTTTGGATTTTTAGAGTTTGGGGATTATGAAATGAATGACTTCATCTTCTTGAGTCCTACCTAGCCAAGTGACATTCTCTGTACATAAAGTGTGGAACCATCAATGCCTTTACAGTTAGCAGAACCCCAGCTTTTGTTACATTTCCTTTGAAAGTCTCATGTGGTTATTAGTTGGTGAAGAATCTAGAACTATTGAAAGCAGTGGGTCTTGGTGGGCTTTGAAAGCTCTGCACAGTCAGCCCACCATGGAAGTCCAAGGAAGAACTGCAGAAAGTCTGAAGGGCAAGCAAATGTCTTTCATACCAAAGAGCACCCTCTGAATATACTGGACAGGTTGCTGACCAAGTCAGATGGTGGTGGCCAGTGTGTGGTGGGACTTCCGCTCTATATAGTTTTCCTACATTTTTGAACTACAGAGGAAGAACTTAATTTTGTCTCAAAGGTGGTCTGACAATATTTACATGGAGTGGGACGTGGAGTGCAACATATCTCAAACTCTGTGATTGTAGAGCTTTTATATTTTCACTGAGCATTTCATAGGACCACTATCCAAGGAGTTGATATAGGGGCACATTTGTCAAGCAGAAAGTTTCCCTTTTCAACCAGGTGTTTGTCACGTTGTGTAGATGGTCTCTGTTGGTGACTAGTGACCAATTGATAGTTTTCTAGAGGTTAGGGGTGGGAAGGAAGGTTATGTGATGGATTTTTATAAGATTTCTTCTCACCCACTTCTATGAGATGGGTGATAGCTGAATCTCCAGTGATGCACAAAAGGAATGGATTCTTAGGGAGGTTAATTTCCAGGCCCAAGCTCTCCAAGAGAGCAAGGCAGGACTGCACCGCATTGCTCTGGTGTGCTGGGTGAGAGAAGGGGGAGACTGTTTTATCTGAGACAGAGGGAGGCTGCTAAAGGGGCAGGTTTGCACATGAAGAAGAATATGAATTATAAAAGATAGCCTAGTGCAGCTGAAGCACCAAATCAAGCTTTAGAAAACTTGGCTGGGAATCTGCTCCATCACAATTAGCCCAGTGACCTAGAACTTGAACTCTGTTGACCTCAGTTTCATCTTCCATAAAGAAGGACAGGTATCCCAATGCAGACCTTGGGTGACTGAGAGATGAAAGAAGAATCACCTGTACGGCCTTTCCGTTGATGTCTGTCCCCATAGACCCAGCTGTGAAGACAGCATTGGGCACTGTGATGGTGCTGGTTTCAGACAGGTGTATGTGTGATGGGGGGATGTTCAGTTCTCGACTAGCCACCTGCCAGGGGCAAAAGAGAAATTATTTCATTGGCTTTATGCCCACTTCTGAGGAAACTTTGCATTCTTTTTAGAACTGAGTATAAAACCCTGGCTGGCTGTCCTGCCGAGATGACAACAGTTAAGCTGGGTATTAAATGGCACCACGGATGATACACTCCTTTTTGGAGATATTTGGCCAACCAACCAGTCTTGCTGTACTTCTTTTTATACCAGTTTTATGGAAGCCACATGGCAGAGTGATCATTCTGGGACACACATTATTGTTCTGAGCAGTTGCCATGAAGCCTTACGGTATTTTATCTTTGAAACTGGAGCTACATTTTTCAGAAAATTCATAGTTCTCTCATATGCAGGAAGAATATTATGTTTTTCTCAATTCCAACATCTATTTCCCTCACTCTACTGCATTTTTATGTTCCTGAGGTTAGGATGAGTATTAAAATTGACTTGTGCATGTAATGCTTGATCTTAGTCTGTAAGGGGATAAGCTCTCCTACAAGAGAGAACATGAGCACTTGTCTCACCTGGATCATTTTGGTGTTCAGACCTTGTCCTAGTTCACAGCCACCATGAATCAGCAGGACAGAGCCGTCTAGATAGATGTGGACCAAAGCAGCTGCCTGGTGGAGATCATTGTAATACAGTTTGGAAACTGATATTAACAAATTTCAGTCAGTTTAGCTGAGGACATAAAAAGATGGTTATTCCAAATGAAGATTTCATAGAATTTGCACGTTCCAGGGCCAGACCATAGGAGGGAAGAGGCTGGGCCACGTAGTGGTTCTGCAAACACAAAATTTTTCTTGAGCTCAATCTCCATTGCACTCTAGCATATGGCCCAGGATCCTGCACTTACCTCATTGGGAACCTACCTTTATATGGATGCCTATGTCCCTGCCACAAAGCATTAAAATACCAACTAATTCATCTCTTCCATCTCCTGGATATGATCCAGACTTTTTGGATCATTAAGTTATTTACAGGAATGTTTAAACTGTGTTTTATATTCCTGACATTCTAACAAGAGTAATGGATGACCACGCGTAAGTATTATCATGTGCCTCCAGAAAGCATGTTATATTTAGTGATGATGACTATGTAAGCCTCAAGTAGGATTACTTTAATTGATGGAGCACATTAGAGACAAGAGGTGGGACTGTGAGTCAGCACACCATCTGCAGACATTTTAGGATAACACTTCAACATAATTTGTATAATTCACTCACACTATGAAGGGGGCCTGTATGCTTTTCTTTGCAAAAGTTTGGTTATGGGGCATTTCAGCAATTAATGGGAATATACCCAAAAATAAAAAAATAACAGAATCAGAAATTGAACCCCATGAAAAATTGATTATGGTTAAACTTAAAAAGAAAGCCCAATAGTCCCTGAGCCTCACAATAGAAAACTTCAAGTTTCTGTGTGACTTGGGCATCTGTCTATTCTTATACTTTTGGAAGCTCTGCCTTTAAATGACCCTACTGCTCTCCAAGAAACTAGGAAGGTTTCTTTCTCTCACAGACTTGAAATTTGACTCCCTACTCAATACTCATGTTTGGGACCCTGCTACTAAAACCAGGAGCCCCTGAGCTAGACTATGTATTGTTGATTGAGGTCCTCATGCCATGTCCTGCCAGGTCTGCCCTAATACCTATAGTGCTCATCCTTGCTTAAGCCTACTCTATCTCCTGCTAAAGGAAACTGCCCCAGTTTCTTCTCTGACCCCAGCAGGGACTACCCCTTGTTGCATATGATTGCCTTTTCCAGAGGCCAGTCATTTGGAACAGGACTTTCAGGAGGACATCTCTCCTCACCTCACCTGACTGTAGTAGGCTATGGGGATTCCAATGGTATACTTCATGGGGACAACGGAAAGCCCTCTCTTCTTCCAGTAATTTTTTTGGTTAAATTCCTCTGCAGCTTGTTTCCTAGCATAGAATGAAGATTTCTCCAGACAGTCTTTCCAGCATTTTCGCAAGGGCTCAGGGTTAAATGTCTGCTTGTAGGCTGTTTTGCTAGTTCTCTTATACAGGTTTATTTCTTTAACCTGAAAGATGATAAAGTAAAATGGATTTTAAGGATGAATGCTTGTTCTATATATAACAGCATTTTTGTTATATGTCTGATTCAGAGAAAATATTTCTAAAAAAAGAAATCGATGTGATTCTGCAATCTGTATACGGGGAAAAAATGAGAGTTCATAACCCACTTGAATCAAATGTATGAAATATGATATGTCAAGAGCTATGTAATGTTTTGAACAACTAATAATAAAAAAAAGAAAGAAAAAAAGAAACAAAAAAGAAAAAAGAAACAATTAAATACGTGGATATAAATATGCAAATGCAAATGTATGGGTATAAAATTGAAATTAATGCAAAACAGAAAATATTATCGAACACTTTATATGCTCCAGGCATGAGTGTTTGTCTAAGTGTGTTTATCTCAATTAACTTCATGATGATCCTGAGAAACACTAGACATTATTATTAGTCTTGTCACAAGTTTGTTAGTGATAAATTCAAATTCCTTTTACTCCTATAAAACATTGCCTTGTGTCCTAATTATTTTCAAATTAGCTCCTCAAAGTCTTGACTGTGGTTAAACTTTTGCACAAATGGCTATAATCTTTCTACTCTATTTCTGCCCTGGGGTAGTTTCACACTGACTCTGGGATTGGTTTTGTGACTTGCTTTGGTCAAAGGGATAATACATAGGAAGGCACACTGAGACTTGAAAAGTATTGGCACATTGGGGCACGCCACGTTCTTGCTGCTCTTGGGAACTCTGGGAATACTACCATGAGAATTAATATGGGCTAGCCTACCACAGCCTACTACTATGGAACACTTTCCAGCCTTCCCAGGTGAGGCATTCCCAGATAAATCCACCAGATAGCTACCAGACAAGTTAGTGAAGCCATCTGAGATCAATAGAGCTCCAGTTGAGCTGGCCCATACCAGAAGTGCTCCCCAGTTGACCTACAGATTCATGAAAAAATGCTAATTATTTTAAACCACTTGGTTTTGTGGTTGACTTACTACAAGAGCAAAAGCTAACTGATACATAGAAATGCTTCAGTTTTGAGAAACCACACAGAGGCTGACATAATGCTATGAGTAGGTGCGCAAGATACATTTGACCCAATGAAGCCAGCGTTTTATTAGGGGGGTTCTGACCATTTACCTCTTCTGGAAGTAAGTTACATTGAGATGCTACAGCATTTATGTAAGCTTCTACTACCACTGTGGCCTGAGGGAAGCCAAATCCTCGAAAGGCAGTGTTAGATGGCAAATTTGTTTTGCAAACTCTGCCCTGGCATCGGAAATTAGGAATGTCATATGCATTTTCAGATTTCAGCACAATGAACTCCAGCACCTGGATTAAAGGAAAAAAACTTTACTTCTATCCAATATTCAAAACCATTTCTCTAAATTTTATTTTTAACACAAACCATTTAAGAATTTATCTAATTCATAAAATGAATATTCATGCAAATAAAGCATGACACATATAGCCCCACTGAAAAGCTATGGAAAAGCTTGTTTCTCACCATCTCAGACTCATCAGGAGTGCATCCACCATTGATGTAATATTTGACATCAACAGCTTTGATCACACCATTGTTCATGAATCCAATCTGCAAAGTGATAGCAAGACAGTTTTCTCAGTTACGCTTCTTTGCAACCTAACTGTGCTGTACACAAACACATCTGATCACAATTCTCCACCCTTACCTAGCTTATACGCGTGGTTAGATATGACAGACACAGGAGGAACACTCAGGGAGAGCTCAAGTTGAATTTGATCCAGACAGAAAGTTCTGACTAGCTTTAGGCAGCATCCAAATATCCTTTTTAAGAGGTAGGAATTGAGCAACTGTCTTTACTATTGATTGATTAACATAATGTCTTAGTGGCTTGTTAAACCTGAAGGCTCTCACTCACTTTGTATTTTCCAAGCAGTGGATGGCGGCCAGCGGTTATCAGCATATCATCACCTCGCTCTAGGATGAATCTGATTGGGCAGCCAGTCCTATGGGAAATGACTCTGTTAATATGCAGGGGGCTTCACAAAGTTGTATAAGCATAGAGATGGGGAAGGAGACTTGAAGTAATTTAGCTTAGTGGGGTTTTATTTTTCTTCCTGTTATGGTATTGAACCCAGGTGCTTGCACGTGCTCAGCAACTGCTCTACCACAGACATACATGCCCATCCCTTTTTAAATTTTATTTTGACACAGGATCTAAGTTGCTCAGGATGGCTTCAAACTTGTGATCCTCCTGCCTTAATCTCCCAAGTAACTGGGCTTACCGATGTATACCATAGTACCTGGCAGCTTAATGGTTTTCAAAGGGGGTAGTAATATGCCTTTAACAACATTTTGCAAACTGTAAGAACATTAAAATTAATATATATATATATATTAATTTTAATGTGATATATTATTTGGTTATAAATGATTCCACCTTTATTTCTTGTTAATATTTACATTAAAGAGTTGTATGATCATTTTGAAATTATGTGTTTAAATAGGCTTTATTATTATGCATTTCACTTGTGATATTAAGAGGGCATTAACACATTGCTGTAGGTGGGCTGTTAAGGCTGAAAGTTTGAGATTCAGCACTCTGTCCAGCTCAACCTCCCTTGCAGACTTCCTTTTCATAAAGTGTGTATCAAGGACTCTGGTTTCTTATGGAATGTTTCCAACTCCTATAAACCTGCTACTTAAAGGACAGCCTTTTCTATTGTTGGAAAGTTCCAAGAACTCTTTTTTTTTTTAGTGGTAGACTGGGATAAGACAAGTTTGTCCTGAGTGTGTCTTGGTGAACTCTTGTAGTTACAAGGTTCACAAGTTGTGGCTACTCCAGTGTCTGGTTATTCCAACAGAAAGAGGCAGAGGCTGCGTGAACATCTGCAGGCAACAGCAGAGCCCATGGTTTATTCCATAACAAGATGTGTCTCTTGTAGGACTGAGGTTTTGACCTTCCTTCCACACAGCCAATTTCAGTTGAGTTGAAGGCTGAGATGAAAGGTTGGAAGGAATCACGTGCCATCCATGCCACTCAGACTGCTGACATGACACAGTGATCACTGTCACTTACTTATTGGCAGCCACAGCACTAATGGCTCCCAGAAGAGCGGGCTTGGTCACTTTCCCTCCAAATGCTCCTCCAGCTCTTTTCATGTGGCAGGCGATTCTACTTCTTGGGACACTGAGTGCTGCAGCCACATATTCCTATAAGAGGTAAGTCCCCAAGGCCTCATAAGTGCAATTTAATAGTTTACTTTCTTATCCATGTTTCCTCTCTGTCCAGTAAAAAAAAATCAGTACTTCCACATATATTTATATTTACAAAGTTGTTAACCATCATCATAGTCTGATTTGAGAACATTTTCAGCATCTCCAAAGAAACCTTGTATTCACTAAGCAGTCAGAATTCATCTCTTGCAACCTCCCAGCCTAGGCAACCACAAATCTATATTCCATCTCTATAGATTTGCCCATTTTGGACATTCCATATAAATAGAATTGTACAATGTGTGGCCTTTTGTGACTGTCTTCTTTCACTTTGCATAATGTTTTTTCAAGGGTCACCCATGTTGTGTCATGTACGAGTTTTTCATTGCTTTTTATGGTTAAATATTATTCCATTGTGTGGATATATCAGATTTTATCTATTTATGAGTTGATAGATATTGGGTTGTTTCTAATTTTGGCTCTTATGAGTAATGCTCCTATGAACATCTATGTTTAAACCTTTGTGTGGACAAAGGTAGATAGTTGAGTAGATAGTTGTAGAGTTGCTGGTTTATATGGTCATTTCATCTTTAACATCCAAAGAAACTGCCTAAGTGTTTTTCACAGTGGCTACACCATTTTTCATGCTCATTAGCAATTTATGGAGGTTCCAGTTTCTCTACATATTTGTCAATACTTGTTATTATCTCTCTTTTAGATTATAGCCATGTTAGTGGGCGTGGAGTGGTATCTCATTGTGGCTTTGATTTGCCTTTCTCTTGTGGCTGATTGTTGAGAGCCACAGCCGAAGGAGCCCCAGCAAACTTTCAGATTGCCAGCTGATGATTGGCTCACAGCAGCCCCAGCAACTTCTAGCTCATTGGCTCCTCTGCGGTGATGCTCATTGGTGGACTTTTTTTGGCTCCGCCCACACGACCCAGCCAACTGGTCTCAAGAGCAGGAGGATTGTGGGAGGTGGAGAGGCTTGTGGTTTTGGGAGAGGCTTGTGGGAAGCCGCTGGTAGCAGTTGGGCTCTGAGGGTTTTTCCTGAGGAGCTGTTTTGTTTGGCATGTGTGGTTCTAAAAATAAAGTTAGTTTCTTTTGACAAGTGGCCCCTGATTGTGCCCAGCCAGACTGTGGTAGCTGATGATTCAGAGTATCGTATCATGTGATCATTAGTCATTCATATTTCTTCTTTGCAGAAATGTCCACTCAAATGCTTTGCTGTAACTGCTTTTGATGCTGCCCTAAGTTTTTTAGTAACCCTTGGAAGATGCCTGCTGTGTGGAACTGATGGTGTTGGTGGTGAGTGGCAATGGTGATCTGGACACATGCACCTTATCCCTGGAAGCCCAGAACCCAAACCTCTGGCAAAAAGGGACCTCAGGGATCTTATTACCTCCCTCAATTTACAGAAAAGAATATTGATGCCCAGCAACTTTCAAGAGATCACAAGGCTGCTTAGAGGTAAAACCCATATCCCTTACCCCTCCTCCATCCACTTCAAAACTTGCAACTGTGGAGGTCACAGCCATATCCCTGCTCAGAGCCAGTGACTTCAGCCTTTCATTTTGCCTGAATAGCAACTGGTAACTTCTTCTTCCCATGGAGCCACTCCTTCAGGTCCTCAAGGTGTCAGGATTCCCTCCCAGTGACACTTGTCACTATTTTTAAAGTATCCCCTTGTACCGGACAGTGCAACTCCATTTTTGAAACATGGGAATATCAGGACTTTTTTTTTTTCACTTCTCTGGGTACAACACTGCTTTATATCTCAAGCCACAGCACAGGACTGGAATTTACTTGCTACTGTGTCAGGCTGAAAATGTCTTGGAAATGCAATTGTTTTACCCACATACCACCGATATAGTAGAACATTTATATAGAATAGCAATACCAGTGACATATAAAGGAAAATTAACATACAGTACTAAGGATTTGACCTCCCTGAGATTAAGTTTTACACTATCAATTCTTAAGAGGGAAAGATGAACCTTGTCCTATGTTTTGGAAGGTAGCAAAATTTCCAAATCTTGTTGAAAGTTATTTATTCCATTTTATTCTCACTGGATTTCAACCAATGTCAGGGATGCACATAGTTCAAGGCACAAGAATGAGAGGTCATTTGGAGTCTCATTTCCAAAAACAGCCTATTACCTGCACATGTGTTGGGAACTGTGTTCCAAGGTGTAACACCATCTCTTTGTCTTCTGCTTTTGGTATAGCCAGGATCGTTTGTGTTTCCATGTAAAAATGTTCCTGTCCTTCCACATGGACCTCACCTGTAAAGCATGAACACAGGACAATGTTAAGTCACAGGTACCAACATGGGCACTATTGGTGGCATTTTGTTTATAAAGACCAAGTTGCTTTATCTTATGGAGAGCTGGACTTATATCATTTGGTTAAAACACTTTTTGTGATACTGTTGTACTCCTTGTCCCTGATGCCAATTCCAGTAAGGAGGACATGGTTTTGAGAAAAAGGAAAAATAAGTTTTATTATTTTGCTAGCAAAGGAGAATCACAGGGAACTCCTTTTCCAAAGGCTATGATTCTGCCCGTCAGCAGGAGCAGGGGGCTTTTAAGGAGGTGATACAAAGGCTACATTCCACTTGTTCTCTATTGGAGTTGTAATTCACTTGTTAATTTGGGAGTCATTTCTGAGATCATTTTATGCCATCCCCAAAGTCTGGATTACTTTGTTCCTATGGTGGGTGTGTGCTCAAGGACAGATAAATCTGCTTAAAATGGGGAAGAAAGGTAATCCTGTTTCCCCTGAGATTATGGAGGAGCAAGGAGAAAGGAAGAGAAAGAAACATGTTTATTTAAAAAATAAGTTGCAGTGGTAGAGCAGCAAGGGCTATATTCAAAGCGTAAAGCAGCTCACTGTCGCAATTTGTTTTGCCCTTCCCCGTGTGAGGGGGGAGGGGAACATCTTCTCAAAAGGAAACATATACCCTGCTTTTGGAGTTAATAGGAAATGCAGCTCAGTTGGAAAAAAGTGGCTTTTTTTTTTTTTTTTTTCTGTTCCTGCTATTTCTCAATTGCTCTCAGCTCAAAATAATCCTAATGCTATCAGGGTATTATTTTAAACTCAAATGTATTTACTTAATATTACATAGTGTTGTAGTATACCAGGTATTTTTCTAAGGCTTAGCACTTCATAGATGATTAATTCATTTAATTCATTTAATCCTCAAATCCACCCTTAAATCCATGAAACATGTATTATTATCTACATCTTACAGATTGAGAAGCCGGGACATAGAAAGGTTAAGGAAACCGTCCAAAGTCACAAGAACTGGGATTCACACCTGGGTCACCCAACTCCAGCCAGGGTGCATGCTCTTAGCTACTACACTTCTTCATGTTGGCACTCTCTGTGACTCTTAGTCATTTCTTTTCTTCATGTTTCAAATTTCCTACCTTGTTCCAACATTTTGAAATCCCACAATTGCCCAAATCCCAAATGGCAGCAATTCCAAATGGCACCTTGTCAATCATCTGCCCTTTGAGTGAGAATAAAAATGAAAAGACAATCTAGCATGGTGCCCAACAAGCAAGGCCTTTGGGCCAGCCAGAACCAGGCTCTATTCCTGGTCCTACAGTAACTGGATAGGAGACCTGAGCCAGGGATTTAACTTTTATAAACCTCAGTTTCTTAACCTTTAAAATGAAGCTATGGCTATGTTCCTTCTCAAAATTATTTCCCTCACATTTCAAATAGTACGTAGTAAATGCTTAGTTACTTAAGACAGGTTTAGTAAAAATACTGATTTCTCAAGGTTATAAGGATTAAATAATGTTGTACATATAAAATGTTTAGTATGGTATTGACACAGTAAGTACCTGAGGAATGTTAGTTGATGTGACTATTGGGGGAGTGGTGGTGAATAACTTTCACCTCAAACTTATAGCCTTTGTGAAAATTTCATTTTATTTTAAAAAACAGAATCCTTGAGGAGTATTGGACCTTTGGCATAGTTAGTGGATACTGTCAGATTCCTGAGCATCTCTCACCAGCTTACCAGTTGTGTCCTCTTCTGAAGTAAAGGATTGTTTATATAATTGAGAGGTAGTTTGCAGTTTCTGCTTAAATAGAATGATGTTGCCAAACACGATTTCTAGTCTCTACCAGGTTTTAATAAAAGATAAACATTTATAGCACTTGCCATTTCAATTATTTAGAAGTAGGTCAGAGACCTACTTGCTGTTTTCTCTGACCAAAGACACACAGCAATTTTCTTCAAAATGACAGTTGTGAATACCAGTCTTGGCCATACATTAGAATCTCATGGTGAGTTTTAAAAATATATCTATGCTGTGACTCTGTACTCCAAGATTCTGATATCATTGGTCTAGGGTGTGATTCAGGTATTGATATTTTTAAAATCACACTAATGAGATCTTAGTGCACCAAGTCAAAACAAACAATAATATCAAGATTGAAAAAGATAGAAAACAGTCACAGATTAAATACATAGAAAATTCAAGAAATTCTCTAAGACTATTAAAGGAGCAAATGAATTTAATAAAATTGCTAGGTAGCCAATCAATACACAAACATTGTTTTCACATACTAGATAGAAGTATTGAAAATTAAATATCACTTATCATAGCATCACAAGGCACTAAATACTGGGAATAAATATTAAGAAGGATGTGCAAGATATCTATAGTGAAAACTGTAAAAATTACTGAGAGAAAGAAAACCTAAATAAAAGGCAAGGTCTACTATGTTTATGGTTCATGAGACTTATTATTAGTATTTCAATTATGTTAAATTAATACATGTTATAATGCAATCTCAGACAAAATTCCAGCAAATTCTTTATGATGAAATTCAATTTAGGTGACTTTTCTTTATAGTTATTGCTGGCTTTTGTGTCTGTTGAGAAATTTTTGCCTGTTCCAAGGTCATGAAGAAGTTTTCTTATGTTTTTCCTAGAAGCTTGATTGTTTCAGCTTTTACATTTAGGTCTATGATCTGTCTCAAATTAATTTTTCTATATGGTATAAGGGTTCGAGATTCCTTTTGTTTCATATGGACATGCAGTTAATTTGGCACTGTGTATTAAAGACTGGATTTCATTTTAATCATAAAAAATCAGCATAAAGAAAGTGAAAAGATAATTCACAGACTGGAAGAATATAATTGACCAACAAAGAATTTGTACCAAAAAATATAAAAATGAGCTGGGCACAGTGGCACACGCCTGTAATCCCAGTGGCTCTGGAGGCTGAGCCAAGAGGATCGAAAGTTCAAAGCCAGCCTCAGCAAAAGTGAGGCAAGTACTAAGCAACTCAGTGAGATCCTGTCTCTAAATAAAATACAAAATAGGGCTGGGGATGAGGCTCAGTGGTTGAGTGGCCATGAGTCAATTCCTGGTACCAAAAAAAAAAAAAAACATGTTAAAATCTGTAAACCAGTAAGTAAATAGATTATTTATTATATTATCAATTACATTAATAACAATTACATAATTATAGTAATGTGATATAAATGTATTATTAATTATAATTAATTTTTACTTTTGGATTTAAAAAATTAAGGAAAAATAGGCAAAAGACTAGAATAGATAGTTCAACAAAAAGAATTATAAAAAGAGCCCATACACGTATGAAAACAGTTCATCATTAGTCAATTAAATAAATCCAGCTAAAATCATAACAAGATACCAGTACTCATCTAACTGATTAGATAAAGCTGCAAAGCCTGGCAATAACAATGGAATTTTCTTAATTGCTAATAGGAATAAAATTGGTATGACTTTCATTGTCATTTAAAAATATTTGGCATTAACTACTAAAGCTAAACATACAAATATGCTATTACTCAGCATTTAAGTCCTGGTATATTCCATTAGAAGTAAGTGCTTATGTTCATTAAAAAACAAGTATAATAGTGTTTATAAAAGCTTTATTCATAATTGTCCCAAACTGATAAAAACTCAAATGTCTGTCAATAGCAGAATGGGTAAATAAATTGTGGACTATTTGTCTAATGTTGTAACTACTGAAAAATGAAAACAGAACTACAGATCCATACAATAACATGGTAGACTCTTCCATATAAAATGTTAAATTAAAAAATAAGCACATCAAAAGATTATATTAAAAGATTCCATATATGTGAAGTTCAAAACAGATAAAATGAATCTACAGTGATAAAAGTTAAAATAATACTTTTGAGGGCTACAAGACAGGATGTAGGAAGAATTCTGGGGTACGGGAAATGTTCTGTATCTTGATGGGGTAGTGTTTGCATAGGTTTCTACATATGTAAAAATTCATCAAGCTTTAAACTCATCGTGCATTTTAAATTGTTGTTCAACAACCACAATAGGATAGAAAAGCCCTGCCTTAGAGTTTCAGCTTTTCTCAAACCAGATGACTGAAATTAGTTTTTTACGTTAGAAGTTTCTATTTTCTGGCTCTAGACTATTGTACTTACCTTCAATGATTTGGTCAACATACTTAAAGGCATGCTCTACATCTCCTTGCTCAATTTTTTTCTCAGAAAAAAGAAAAGAATTGTGCTCTAGGGCTTGCTGCAGTGGAGAAACAAACAAACCAAAACAATTTTTAAATTTGCATCCTAATAAACTATTTGTCCCCCGTCAGAATTCCATGCTTCTATTCTATCAGATAGATCTTTTTTTTTTAAATATATATTTTAGTTGTAGTTTGACACAGTACCTTTATTTTATTATTTATTTTTATGTGGTGCTAAGGATTGAACCCCAGTGCCTTGTACGTGCTAGGCGAGTGCTCTACCGCTGAGCCACAATCCCAGCCCCTCAGATAGATCTTTACAAACAGAGACAATTGGAGCTAAAACAGTGTGAAGAGTCAGTGAAAATTGGATTAAAGTGAATTACAGGCATCCAGAGGTGACTCACTAATTTTTTTCAAGGACTTGGAGAAGAGCTAAGGATACAAAGCTCTATTAGCCATGACCTCACCTCTAGATTGCTGAGTGATTATCTGAGGCATTTGGTTTTAAGGCGCCAACTCTGGGGTAAGACGGGCTCATGATAGAGTAAAAAGAGTTTAAGGAGGAGGAGGCTGGGGTGGGTGGAATGCTCAGGAACGGCCTTGTATTGGCTACCTGAATCAGATCCACAATCATTTGAAGTTAAAGGCTCATCATAAAATAACAGTTTAAGGCTGAGATCAGGTGAGGGACCAAAATGAGGACAGACTGGTTAGGTTGCAGGTTGTCTATCAATAAACAGTGGAAGATGAGTGTGGAAAGGTGATTGAGGATGGTGTAGGAAAGACCTTGACTCTACATTGAGGAGTTAGATCTTATGTAAGGGAACTGTGCTGAATAGGAAAGGTAAACTGCTGAACTTGGGGACTCGAAAATGTTAATGTGCTGGGAGAGGGGCTGAACTGTAGACAAGAGCCTCTTTAAGTGGTTATTCAGACAATAAGGTGGTGAGGATGGTGCTGGAGGATGGAGTGAAAGTGAGAATGAGAAGAAAGGAGCAGAAGTAAGTGGCAGTTATAAGATCATCGGAAAAATTTGAATTTGATAATTGTTGGGAAGAATGGGAAAATCAATGAAGATGTTCAACCTGATTAGGCATCTACCTGCTCATCTATCCTTCCATCCCACTATCACTCAACATAAACTTATTGAGCACCAACTGTGGGTTTAACACTGGTAGGCACTAGAGATATAAAACAAAACAGCACATCTTTGCTCTCATTAATAACCATAAAACCAAAAATGATAGCCAACATTTATTGACTGCATCCCCAGGTGCTATTCTAAGTAGTTTACTTGGATTCTTTCATTTAAACCTCATAAAGATTCCTATTTTTCGGGGCTTTGTGGCACATGCCTGTAATCCCAGTGACTTGGGAGACTGAGGCAGGAAGATCACAAGTTCAAAACCAGCCTCAGCAATGGCAAGGCACTAAGCAACTCAGTGAAACCCTATCTCTAAATAAAGTACAAAATAGGGCTTGGGAAGTGGCCCAGTGGTCAAGTGCCCTTGAGTTCAATCCCCACTACCAAAAAATAAAAATAAATAAATAAATAAATAAATAAAATAAAAAATTCTTATTTTACAGATGAGAAACCAAAGTCTGTGGAGTTTAAGTAACTTGCCAAGGTTTTCATTCTATTGAGAAGCTGTTAAATGGCAGAATCAGATTATGGATCCAAGTAGTTTGTCTTCTGAGTTTGTGCTTAAGAACAGTGGGCAGAGAAACAGAGGACCCAGCAGTTGTAATATAACAAATGTTACAATGTTTATGAGTTCCTCGGAGCTCTAGATTTTCCCATTGACTAGCTTTGTTTGTGGGGTCTTGAGGGCAATACTCAGGCAGGCTTTGGTGAGAGGCCACAGGAGAAATGGGCATAGGAAGTTAGTTGCACTGCTGTCCTGGCTGCAGAAGTACTTGTGGGGAAGAAGGTGTTTGGACAGGAAAGCTCTCGGGATTCTGTCTTGAGGTGCTGATTACTAGAGCCTTTCTCTAGGATTGCACTGAACAAAGTATATAGATGGAGCCCAGCTTATACTATTTTATAACTCCATGACTGAATTCTGTCCCAAAGTATACTGCCCTAATCATGCTACAAGATGCAAAGTGGTCAGACTACCTCTATTGTGATAATCCTTGGTTCTATGTCTTCGTAAGTGATCTTCACTTTTTTAGCTGCCTCTTTGGCATGAGCATAGGTATCGGCAGCCACGGTGCAGACGATCTGACCCACACAAATGACCTGCAGGAAAGCCACATGCTGCTGATTAGCTAAGGGCATAGACTCATCAGAAAGGAGTGATCATTCCCACATTTTAACATTCACCTGCTGGATTTTCTGGCCAAAAAGAAAACTATTTTCTACCTATGAGAATAAAATTTAAACCAGTGGCTCCACTGGGACTTAGGGGACACAAAAACTGGTTGCAGAACTTAACTCTCTTGACTTTCATGATCTGCCTTCTGCTGTCTTCCCACTCCTCGTCATTCTTGCAGCACACACAGTGATCTGGTCAACCTGAAATTCTGCTTTCTTTCAATGTCTGTTCTTTCTTAAATTTGTTCTAATTAGTTGCACATGACAGTAGAATTCATTTCATACATCATACATAGATGGAGTATAATTTCTCATTCTTTTGGTTGTACATCATGTAGAATCCCACTGGTCATACAGTTATATATGTACATAGGGTAATAATATCTGCTTCACTCTACTATCCTTCCAAACCCCATACCCCCTCCCCTCCCTTCACTCCCCTCTACCTAATATAATGTCTCTGTTCCATATTGCTTCTCTTTCACAGTTATTCAGAGACCTTCCTTAAGAAGACTGATGACTTCTGATCGGAAACTCAAAGAGACCCCTGATTTAAGAGAGAAGTGGAGAATCACAGAGGTGGAGGAGTCATTGGTTTCCAGTTTTTGTGGTGTGCATGTAAATCTGTGGATGTTACAGTGGCAACTGATAATCATTTTGGTCTCTCCAGCAAAGTGTTCAAATCATAAACCATGCACAAATCACACACCTCATTCTGTGCATAAAAAATCTCTCCGTGATGGTTATTATCCCCTGGAACATCCTCTGCTGTGATTACATCAGCCACACCTGGAAGTGACAGGGCTTCTGAAGTATCAATTGATCTAGCAGGGAAAACATGATGGTAGATATTAAAGATGCAGAAGTAAGTTCATGGCACAATATAAACGATTTCTCAAGTAGAAAAAAATATATGTGGACTTCATAACTAAATAATGGACCAATAGTCTATGTTGAAAAATATTACTATCTAGCAGGTGTTCTAACTCTTGGTCATAGATTCTTTAATAACTATGCTTAAAAATGACTTTTCTCAACTGGTCCTAAGCACTTCAATGTCATGAACAGTGTGGCTGTAAATAGGGACTTTTGGCTGGTATTAACAAATGCCATGGGCATCTCTGGAAAAAAAAACAAAAACTTTTTCTTATCCAGAAGAAGAAATGAGTATTCTAAATTGACTTAAATATGCAATAGCCTCTCAATTTGAATGTGAAACTGTGAATGCATTTTAGTAACATATGGGAACATCTTTTGTTTCCTTACATGATCTTTGCATGAGCTCTGGTGCTGGTGACTACAGCAAGGAAGAGTTCCTGGTCAAGGCGGGGCATGTCATCACAAAATATGGCTTCCCCTGTGGCATGTTTAATGGCCGACTGGTGCATGACTGGGTGGCCAACTGGATCTTGTGGGGATTGGTGGGGATCCACACACTGTTAATGAACAAAGCAAGTAAAATTTATACTGGAAGTTCTCTCATATCCTGAAAATTTGATTTGATTTGTCTAGCTTACTCACAAGTGAACAAACAAACAAACAAATGAAAACTATAGGTAATTAGATATTCATATCTGTTAATCAGGTTAATTAGTATCCATGAGTTCTATAGTAAGGGATATATTCTGATTAAAATCCCCATTCCTGCCCCCCCCCCAAAGAAGACATCATTCCTGTCTTCAAGGATTCTTACAATCTCATTGAGGCATCAGAACCCACACAAACACACATTAAAATAAGGCGGTCTATTTCATATGGCAATAAAGAATAATTTACACAATTGATAAAGTGTAACAAAAATATCTAAGTTCCTGGGAGATTCAGGGTGGTTGTCATGAAGCAAGAAGGCTTTCTAGCGGCAGTAAATGTTGAGTCAGGTTTTAAAGGATGGATGGATACTGGTCAAATAAAGGGGGAAATATTTAGGCAACAAAACTGAAAATAATGGAGAAAAAAAATTCAGAATAGAATTATTTGAGTAGCCCTGAATGAAAGCACAGTAGCCAACCAAGCAATTTGTGTGTGGGTGACATTAGGCTTTTGTAGACTCTACTAGTAATAAATATATAACGGGCATATGTATCCCAAACACATACATAGATTAATAAAAACTTTACCCACCCACCTGGAACATCTGGATTCCTTGTGGTGTTTCTATGGGGAAATCTTCTAAAGCACTCAAGAACTTTTCTGGGATATCGGGAAACTTCTGGGGATCCTGAAAAGATTATTTCACATTTAATTTTGCTATATAAATGATTAACATTGAAAAACATGGAAAAATGGGGTTATCCAGTGGATTCTCTGAGATCTTAGGTTGCAGCTCTGTTGGCAGAAAGCCCTGAGCCTAGAGTTCTCTAAGCTAGTGGGCGAGGTTTGGAGAATAACTACTGCATCCACTTGTGCACACAGAAAAGTGAGGTTGTTTCCAAGAGCCAAGACTTCCCTTCTTGACAAGGTCTCTCTCTTTTCTTTTAAAAATTTAATTAAATTAATTAATTTTTAAAAAACTTTTGAGACAGGCTATCACTAACTTCCTGAAGCTGGCCTTGAACTTGCAGTCCTCCTGCTTCAGCTCCCAAAATGCTGGTCTTACAGGTATAAGCCACCTATCAGACTGGACAAAGTCATCATGAATGAGTGCAAATATGTGCACTTCTAAATGGAGGCTGAGCTTTCAAATCCAGGCCAATCTTCTCAGCTTGTATCTCCAAGAAGCAACTGAGGAACAAGCAGTGCTTAATTTACAAGAATGTTCAATTTTAGATTATTTATGATAGTGAAGAAAATGGAATTAAATTAAATATCAAACAATAGGAAAATGGCTTAACACAAAGACTGGATTAGTCACTGTGACAGCAGGATGCAATATTCTGTAATCATAAAAAAATGGTTTTGTAGGAGTGTTTTTATGATGATGAAGAAATATACTTCAGGGAATATAGTTAAGTAAAAAAAATGCTACAGAATTTATGTATAGTATGCTTCCAATTTAGTAAAAGGAAATTGAAAAATATCAAAGTGTATATCCTAAAATGTTAATAGTAATAGTAGATTATTGGATTACAGTTGATTTAAAAAAATTTTGCCCCTCTCTATTTTGAATTCTTCTATAGTGATAAAATATGTAAAAGTGTGCAATATATGACAATATATAATAATGAATATAGGTAAAATAAAACATATTTAATAAATTATACATATATTTGTATATAGAATATGCTATATAATACATAATAGAATATATAATTGTATATAATTGTGTATAATAATAAGATATATCAATAATATTTAGTAGAAGAAACACTGCTGTGGAAGTTATTTTAAACGAGGTTGAGTAAGAAAAAACTAGTTAACAGAAAACTTGAAGCAATTTAAATGTTTAAAAATAAGGTATGGATCAAATAACTGTACAGTCATCCATAAATATGCATGCAACCATTTGGTCACAATGCCACTGAGAAATATTTAATGACATTGAAAGATGTTCATATTACTAAGTAAAATAAGTAAGCAACTATCGAGGAGTGGCTAGCACCTTGCCAGGGTCCTTTTGCCTGCTCAGAGGGATAAGCCTCTGAAGAACTTAAAGTCTGAAATAATTAGTAAAGAACAAAAGGCAGAATCACAATCACGGTTTTAAAGGATGGACCACCTGATAGGTTCAGCCACACAGGAGTTGGAGCTGGACAATTAGAAAATGGCTCCTGTGGTTTATTTAAGGGGGTACATCAAAGGCAGGGATAAAGTTTCAGAGGTGGTGTCTTGCTTCGTGATGTCTGGCAGTCAAAGGTTGACTGGCATATTGGCAGGTCACAGCCATCTCTGAGAGGCTGTTGACTACAGCAGGTCACCCCATCTCTGGTCCTACATGGGACCTTCCTGAGCAGAGCTCAGGGGGAGTTCACATGTTTGTGGGCAATCTTACCCTGTGAGATTGCCACGGGAAGTTCCCAATACCAGGCTTTCCCACTCACTGGCTACCCTGCTGAAAAGATCCTCATGTATAAATAGTTCACAGATGGGTCTCAACAAGCAACGTCTATTGAACAGTTATTAATATGCACACACACACACATCCATAAAGAAGGGTTTAGAAGGATGTGCACTAAAATATTAATAATGGTTGAATAAGGATGATGGGGGTCACAAATCATTTTTTTCTTCCTTTTTGCTTTACTCACATCTCCCTTCCTCTCTCCCACCCTCCCTTCCTTTCTTCCTTCCCTCCTTTCTTCCCTTCTTCCTTCCTTTGCAGCACTGGGGATTAAAGCCAGTGTTGCTCTACCAGTGAGCTACATTCTCAGACATTTTTTCATGTTTATTTTGTAAATGGATCTTGCTAAATTGCCCAGACTGGCCTTGAACTTGTGATCCTCCTGCCTCAGCCTCCCAAATAGCTAGGATTACATTAACTCATATTTTCAAAGTATTAAATAATTATTTTTATGCAAATTTGTTTCAAACAAGGAAAAGGTATAATTTACTTACTGAAGGCTTTTCACCATGGTTAGTTAACCTCTTATTACGTTTTAGCACCTGTCACATGGATCATAGGGCAAATAGACTAACAAGGCTGCCCCCTTCAGAGCCTGGGAGTACAGGAGGGGAAAGGGGAGGAGAAACCACTCCAGGTCCAGAGGCAGGGCTGGAGGCTAGGAAGCACCATGGGGGGCACCATGCCAGGTACACTCAGTGTATTATCCAAACCAGGCAGGGAAAGTCTTCCTGTGCAGACCCATGCTCAGAATGACAAGGAACCAGAGACCCAGAGAAATCATTTACCATTTTGTTCAGCCCTTGCCGCACTTTGAGGTAGAATTTGAAGAGTAAGCTGATGATGAGTGTCCGCCGGTATGTCACCATGCCACCCTCAGCTGCTGGGGGAATGTGGATCTCATCCAGGACCCACTGGCACGCGTCACTCAGCATCTCGTCATCCCACTGTCTATCAGTAAGAATGCAAACGTTTCACAGACGGGGCAAAGACAGTGCTACGATTTATCATCTCTGAAACTCATGTTGAGATTTGATTGCCATTGTGGTGGTGTTGAAAGAGGTGATCTAAATCTTTAAGAGAGATTAATGCAGTTGAGAGACTGGATTAGTCACTGTAACAGCATGCTGCTAAAATGCAAGTATGCCACTGTGTCCTCTCTTCAGCCAACACCTCCTTGCTTGCTCTTCAACTTTTTGCTATAAGTTGGAGTGGAAGAAGCCTTTGTGGGTGTCATGCTCTTGGACTTCCAGCCTCCAGAACCTTGCGCCAAAGTAAACCTCTTTCCTTTATAAATCATCCAGTTTCAGGAATTTTGTTATAGCAATAGAAAGTGTACTAAGACAGATAGATATGAAACTGATAGGGCAAGGAAAGATGGAGTGCATCCTGTAACCATTTTGGTTTGTGTGTGTGTGTATGTGTGTGTGTGTGTGTGTGTGTATGTATGTCTGTGTGT